CTTTTGCTGGTGTGTTTATTTTAACTATATAGTTTTCTTTATTTCTTTTTGGGAGAGGTTGTGGGTTGTTCTGGATGTGCTTTTAGGGGGAATTACCGAAGTATTTTTCTCTGTTCTGGTTATCCTGGTAAGGTTTTGCACTGGAGTTTATTTTTTCTGGATAAACCTGGGGACTGGGGGCACCATATTTATACCGAACTGATTCATATTCTTCACTGGAAGAGGGTTTTTCTGAGGAAGGTATTGGTGGTTCCTCGTGTCTGGAAGAGAGGCTGGACATCTTTTAATTTTGGGGGGATGACTGTTTTTTCTATTTACTGTGTTAATCTCACGATTTTTTGGAGTATTCCTTGTAGGTTTTCTATCAAGTTTCTTGATCAGTATTCAAATGTCCGCAAGGTATACTCTCTCTGGTTTTTTCATTTCCTTTTTGGATTGCTTAGTCATTTTTGTAGGAGACCTGTGCTGAATGGGACGATTTCGATTCTCCTTTTTTGGGTGTTGTCTTCTCACAGCCCGAGTAGTTATTTCTGCTTTTATTGTAATATTAGAAAAAGGATCTACTGGCTCTTAGGTTTTATTTTTCTTTTCAATCTTGTAGCTCTTTTGAGCAGTAGTGAGCTGGTGGAACCTTCTAAGGACTTTGTAACCGATTTTGTTATTAACGCGTAGGCCCCTACTGGTGGGTTTTAACTAAAAAAAAAAATATATTTAGGACTGTCAAAATCAGGTCACAGGTCGGACTCGGCGTCAACCCGGAATTGAACCGGCACTGTTCGACTAGACCCGAACTCGACCCATTTTAGCAAACGAGTAGATTTTTCAGACCCGAACCAGACCAGCTTCGGGTATATATGTTTTAATTTTTTTATTTAATTCAGTTTATTTAAACATGAATCAAATTAATGTGAGATTTACTTCAATCAATTTAAAATAAACATAGCTTAGTTTAATTTGGGCAACATGATTTTTTTTTTTTTTTTGAAATAACATTTGCTTATTTCATAACACTATTTTAAAACCCTCTAAAATTAATTAAAAACATGTCAAACCGAGTTGATTTTCGATTTTTGGGTCAACCCGAACCGATTTTACAAACGGGTCAAAATCCCTAACTCGAACCCAAGATTTTTGGGTCGGATTCGGGTCGGATTTTCAGGTCGTGTCAAATATTGACACCCCTAACATCATTGATGTTAGCTCAAGTTACCATTCAAACTGAGTTTGGCCTTGCAATTTCCATTCTCATTCTTAAAAAAATGAAAAGTTTTCTTACTTAGCCATCTAGCTTGCTATTAGAAAATTTCCATGTACTCCTTATTAATTTAATTTCAAAATTCTATCATCTTAGCTAGATCATTCTACAAGTTTTTTTTCTTAATGTAGCCTTGCTGAAAGTCCTACCTCAGCCATTAGTCTATAGGTTGAATAGGAATGAACCTTAGAATGATTATACAATCATATAATTAGATGTATAAATAACTATAGAAGGAACATTTCATCATTAAATTTCTTTTTAGTTTAGAAATTCTCATTAATAATATACAATATATATTATCATAAAAATGTAATGCTTTTTTCATGAAATAAAAAAATATATATATAATTAATACATCAACATAACACTAAAATAAATATCTTTTTGTTATTATTATTATTATTTTTAATAAAAATGCAAAGATGATGAAGTTGACTCAACAGACATCCTAAGATAATGCCAAGTCTATGATTCCTTCAAATGTAGAATAAGACCTCCTAATTAGAACATAATCATATTTGATTAAAGTCCTAAATTACAATATTACACTAATAAGAGTTAGAAGATAAATAAAATAAAATAAAAAAAGTTAGAAAATTAAGATGATTTACCAATAATTTTAAAAAATTAGATAGCATATTAAGAAAGTTCATAATATTTTAGTCATTTAAGAGTAAAAAAAATGGCACTCATAGGTGAAGCAAGATTTTTTTTTGAATTTCCATTTTTTGTACCATTATTTTTTACTGCTGAAAATTTAAACCATGAAATTCTTCTGTAGCAAGATGAAATATCAACGCAACTCTCCAAACATTGCATAACTATTTGAATCAAAAAACAGTAACTATGATTAAGCAAAATGATCATAATAGTACTACATCAATCATATGAAACAAGAATAGTTCAGCTGATACAAGTGGTCAAAGCAATCCAGAGGTCAGAAAAATATTGTTTAATACAGAAGTTGGGGATGGAATTAGACTCGATCAAAATCTCATGATTCCGTCATCCCGATCGGAAAAACCAATGTGGTTAAGCTAGAGATCTCTGTGTTATCTTTGAAATTCAACGCATCATGGTGCCAGGCACCATTGGCGGCATTGTCATTGTCCCACGCGTTTGCCGTTCTACGTTCAACTGCCATCCTGAGAATTTTCAACAGTTTATAGATATTTTTTGTGTTAAATTTTCAGCTCAGAAATATAGGAAAAAAACCTTAAAAATATGCTGATTTAGGCTTCGTTTCGGACAGCTTTTTTACTATTTTTTAAAGAAGTTTTTTAGTTAAAAAATTAAAAAATTTGAACTAAAAAGCTGCTTTAAGAAACACTAAGATAGTCGTCCCAACAAAGCCTTAAGCTTCATTCGGGATAAGAAGACGGCTTTCTTATTGCTTCTTAAGCAACTTTTCCGTATAAATTTTTTTAATTTTTTTATTAAAAAACTGATTTAAGATACAGTAAGAATGTTACTTAATTTGTGATTGTTATGATTTTTTCTAATAATGTATAAAGTTACTGTAGAGAAAATATCTTTTTTAAAAGCTGCTATAAAAAACAGCTTCCTAACACAAAAATTAATGAAGCAGCGATAGAATAAATTTTGTGATAATAATCTGAAAATTAAAACAGTAAGAAAATGTCTCAAATGAAGCTTAAATATGAATTGAATCGCATTTAAAAAACTGTGCAAGAATATTGTTGTAAGTCTCTTGTTGTTTTACTTTTTGAATTCTAGATGGAGCTGTGTTTTAAGGAACCTTAGCTTTGTCAAAGTTAGCTCAACTGCTTTTGATTTTCTCATCTTAATTAAAGATCAATGGTCTTTTTTTCAATATGGGCAACTTAGACAAAGTAAATAATCCAAGCTAGATAGTTTTGAATATGGTTACCGGTTGTTGTTGTTATTGACTTTTGATTTAGTTTACTTTTAAATAATTTGTTCATTAATAGGCTCGATTAGACTTACTTGTCAAACTAATGAACAACATGGTAATTGAAATAAGACTCAACGATATCTCTCGATAAGGCTCGTTTGTTATTTAATGCAAGCCGCTTGTTTAAAACTCAATAAACACTATATACGGATCAAATATAAGCCGAACCTAACACAAGTCAAAACTATTTAAACACATCTATCATTTTAAAAGAATTAAGCTTGAACACAAATAGAAAAGCTCGAATCAAGCTCAAACCGAGCTCAAACAAGCTGAAAGTAAACTAGCTCAAATATGAACATATATGGTATATGAGAATATTTACGCACCTATAGTCATATCAAAGCCACGATTCTTGAGCTCTCTGTACTCCTGGCAAAGCGCAAAGAACTCGCAACAGCAATGAACACAGCAGTCGTTGCATGGCTCTTCGGCAAGCCTGTACTGAGCCCTCATCTTCTTTCTATTGAAGCACGAATATATACACTGACAGCAAGTTAGACATCCCAGTAACGTATAAAGAGTTCCTGCTGCCCCGCAAGCTGCATGGATTAATAATACACGAATATGTACGTTAACTAATTAACTAAGAAAATACTTTACTAATAAACTCATTATATAGAGATTAATAAATTAATTACGTACATGTAGATCCCCTGTCGACGATCTCAGCGATGCGGCCGAAGGTGACGCACGGGCAGAAACAAGTCATGCAACCTTCCTCATCCAAAATAACACAAAAATAACGTAAAAACACCATAAAAACAGCTGAAGATCGATAGCTTATAGAATGATGAGGTGTACTGTAGAATTACAGAAGGTTTTGAAGAGCTGAAGTATAAATGATTGAGAAATTTACAGTTGCCGCAATCATCTGAGCAGTCGCAGAGGCCGGTGGACCATGGCACCGGTCCATGAGCGGCCTGCATCCCTATAGGAGGTGGAGGCATTGATGATGGATTGTAGTACTGTCCACCTGGTGGGGGAGGATAGTAGTGTGATGCGGCCGGCGGCGGCGCCATCACCGGCGGTGCGGTTGCGTAGTACTCATCAGGCTTTGGATACATTTTTTTTTTGGGGTGTGAAAAGGAGGAGGAGAAAGACAGAGAGATAGAGATGAGTAAGAGAATGAGAGAGCCTTAATTTGAATGCAAATTAAAAACTTTTGAAGCTCATTTTGATATAATTTTTTAATAATCTTTATCTCCGCGTGGATTTTTTTTTATGCGGTCTTGGAAATCTATCATTTTCCATGTTCAAAGTCCTTTTTATTGGCATGTTCAAAGTCTTCTGTTAGGTTGCCTGAAATACAAACTGTTGGCCGGATCTGCTTCCAGTTTCCACACAGCAAACAGCATGCTTTACACGCAGTTAAATATAATTATTTTTGGGATATTTAGGCCTGTTCAAATAAATTCATACACATATCACATATACAAAACTCAAATTCAAAATCTCTTAGTTCATAGCGAAAACTCTTTTTTTTGGACATTTTAGGCTAAATTAAGACAGACTCCCTTACATATCGTATAAATAAGACTAGAACACAAGCCCTCTTGATTGATAATATAAGCTCCCAACTAAAAGACCAGTGTGAGTTGTGTCATAGCTAAAATTTTCAATCAACAGACCAAATGACCTGTACGAACTACGAAGGTACGTAGTTCCTTCTCCCGAACAGCTTGGAGTTTTTCAAATATTATATTATTATATTATGAATAACAAATAACTTAAACATGAAGGAATTTTCATTATTCAAAGTTTAGGGCCTATTGGGTAAACCTAACACAATTACGCATTTTCTAATTTCTAGAAACGGCAGGCACAACCTTAGAAATTAAGCATATTCTATAATAAAATATTTGACTCATTTCTGCCGATTTATACACAATATATATTTAATCTCAAATGATTATATACTTTTTATATACTTTATATATATATTATTGACTATGGATTAATGAAATCCTCAATATTCTTTTAGGATTTAATTCTCATAAAATTATTTCATTACTTTAATTATAAATTATATTTAGTAATTAATTTAATATAAAACTCAAAATAATTTCATATAATTTATTCTAATCAAATCGCACAATTTTAGTAATTTCTAATCAAATCTCACAATTTAATTATATATTTCTAGTAATTTCTCACTCTTCTCTATCATACTAGTTTGTAGAGATTGCAATGAATGGATTAATAATAATAATTGAATTAAGTAATTAATAATGAATTGGAAGATGTAATTGTTGAGGCTAATAGGATTACTGATAGGATAATTATTATTAAGATAATTATTGATGGGGAATATATGAATATGATCATTATTTATACTCCTCAAGTTGGATTATATCATATTTTATAAAATTAAATTTGGAAAGAAATTGATGTACCTTATACCAAGATTTGAGTATTTATGGAGGCTATTATAATGATTTGATCAACACATCGTTCAATAGAGTTTTGAAGACTGCCAATATGTTAAATGACCGGAGAAAAAATATTTAGGAACCAATATTTAAGAATAAAGGTAATATTCAATATTGTGTTCACTACAAATTAAGGAATCAAACTTATGAGTTATACAATGAAGCTTTGGGAGAGAGTTATGTAACAAATTGTAATAGTCCAAACTCTTAATTATTGAGGTGTTGCTCACTTTGGTCTAATGGCTCTATGATTTTATTCTGTTGGTGTAACTTTCCAAGTAGCCACTCATCGATCTTAGGAGTGTTCCTATACAAGTATGCTTAACTTTGAAGTTTATAATGAAACTCCAATCATTACACTAAAAGACACCTCGATTTTTGAGAGCTTAACATTATTTTCTTAAAATGTTTCATAATCTCCCCCACTTAGAAAACTGACATTCTCATCAGTTTTCTTAGCCAATAATCTTAACTATCGAGATAAGATTATAAACTAAAGGTAGATTTTCTATCTTATAGCTAGTGTATTGATCTTATACCATTTGTAATAGCTCAAACTCTTAACTATCAATATATTATCTACTTTGGCCTAATGGCCTCACAATTTTGTTCTATTAGTGTAGCTTTCGAAGAGGTCATTCATCCAAGGATTGCTCTCGCAATAGCAAGCTTAACTTTGGAGTTTCTTAATGAAATAATAATCATTACACTACTAGGTATCTTAATATTTTAAGAGTTTAGCTTTATTTTCTTAGGGAGCTTTACAATCTCCCCTAATTAGATAACTGATATTCTCGTCTTCGTATGAGCTGAACCGGCCGAACATACCTCTTCGCACGAGACCAGATATCTTCGCCCTTGTCTCTACTATAATCACGCTAAAATTTTTGTGATTCTCCAGCTCAATGCTGCGCCTTAGCTCAATTTAAGAAGGGATAAGGGTTAGGGAATCCACTCATCCATTCGTGCAACAAATGCAAACTCTCTCTCTCTCTCTCTCTCTCTCTCTCTCTCTCTCTCTCAACTTCTCCTCCTCGCAACTCCCGAGCGCCCTCTTCCTTCTTCCAAGACCTATTTATTGAACTTCTTCTCCCTCTTCATCTCTTCCATTCATTTTCATCATCGATGAAGGCACCCGACCTCCTTCCTCCTAAATTGAAAGCTAACAATGAGAAAACTTTGTCCTTCGTAAGCTTATTGATCATCTCTTCTATTTTCATCCCCAATCTTGTGTAAGATAATGATGGCCACGTCAGGTATGCATATTTCTCTTTAGATGTTTATGTTATAGAATTCAAAAGTGCCTGTGTCCACTCAATATCAAGTGTGGACAAAATATTCTTAAATACACATTGTGAAGGACCTTTGATTATGGCAGTGGCACAAGATGTTAATATTTATAGTTATCTAGTGGCATTTATAATTATTGACCTAAAAAATTATGAGTCATAGCTTTTTTATGACCAGTATAGGAAGTTGACAGGCATAGTTAAAACATGGCGTTTATCTTTAACCAAAATAATACTATCACCAATGCTTTATCACTTATTTTTTTAGAGGCACCTATGAAGCTTTTATTTATCATACTGCAATAAATATCACGACAAATTTTAAAATTAATAGTTGTTATAAGGTTTATCACTTAAATTTGAAGGTTTGTAAAAGAAATGAGTTTTTAGGCACTTTGATTAAATATAAGTTGATAAATCAATCATAACAACTTATCTTGAGAAGCTTTGAATGATGGGCTATTTCTTTATTTTTTAAAAATTGATACAACTTGATGATAGATGTTATTTCTAATAGCTTCAATATCACCATGAGTGCATGATCATATCTAGTGACTATACTGTTAAAATGTTTAAGGCATATAATGTAAAAATGATTTTTTAATAGATATAACAATGTAACAAACATAAAAAACTATTTTAGTGATGAAAATCAAACATGCATCGGTAAAACTTTTAAATAAGGAAAAAATATGTTTGTTTGTCCCATTAATCAGTTTGAACTATATGTTATTGATTGTGATCTTAATTCACAAGAGATGACAATGTACATGCAAAAAGTTTAATGTTGTGGATCTTCTTTGAGAACAAGCATTAGTAATAGCTCATGATCAAGGTATTAGTTATTATACCTTGTGTTCAAAGTTCTATATCTAAGAAACATGATTAGCTGCATAGGCTGAAAGCATAATCCAGTTAAGAAAAAGATGTTCCATATAAAATAGCTGCTTTAATTTTGTTGAATTATCCAAATTAGTGAAGCCTATAAGTGTCCATCTAAAGAAAAATAAAAGGCCTTCAAAAAGGGAGAAGGTTTTTGTTTAATATAAGTGTAATCGATATATTGTTAGAGATTATAATTGAGTTACTTCTAATTAAGATTAAGTGCCTATCACTTTCATAAAGATTTTTCTGCATAGATTAACTGTAATTCTTAAACTACTACCAATGAATAATTGTACAATGATATATTACTTATTATTTTTATATTTTATAGATATTAGTTGGCCAAATCGTAGCTGAATTTATTATGGTATACATCATGCGATTGCTTTTTATTATATCTGTCATATTTGAAAACACGCATGCATATAAATGTATATATTTGAACCCTCTTCAATTATTATTTAACCCATATTATTTATAAACTTGTTGTGTTATATCCATTGTCATTGCTCTTTGAAATTGTTGTATTATATTGAATATTTAATATATGCAATTCAAATATTGTATATAAATACATATTTTCAAACAATGTTTAAATCATGATCAAAATTTTTTTCGAATAACAATGATTAATTTTTTATTAAAGTTCAAAGAAGGTTCAATTTTTTGTTAAAATTTTATCATATATAGTCTCAAAATTGATCAAACTTTATTCAAATATCAATCAAATCAAATTTGATTGTGATTGATAATAGATATTTCCTCGCTCTGCCCTAGCCTCTCTGCTAGGGTTTGGTGGCTTCGGGCGTTTTCCCGCCCGGTGGGGGCTTTTCTTCCAGCGACCTCGTGTTCTAGGGAGTTCTCTTCTTCTCTACTTGTTTGGTATATTTTTTTGTTGATTTTTTTCTTGTCTTTGCCGGCTGTGCCGGTATGGGTGTTGTTAAGCTGAAAGACCCCGTTTTTTTTGGGGGGGTTTCTCATTCCCGATCTTTTCTTGAAGCTCTTGCTAGTCCTAAGTAATCTTTTCCGGATTTGCATGTTTCCACGTTTCGTGGCTTACCATCGTTATGGGTTTCGGATATGGAAATTCAGGAGCTTGCTGCTCCTTTTCAGTTCTCTCTTGTTGGCTTTTTTTCATCTAAAAGGCCGACTCTGGAATCTATTCGTAAGTTTTTCTTCAATTTGAAGTTGAAAAGTGAAGTCTATGTCACGATTTTAGACCATTCTCATATTCTGATCAAGTTATCTAATGATCTAGATTACTGTAGAGTTTTCTGTCACCGCTCTTACCTTGTTTTTAATTGCTTTATGAAACTGACTAAGTGGTCGCCGACGTTGGACATTGGTGTTGAATCGCCGGTGATACCTGTCTGGGTCTCTTTTCCTCGTCTTCGCCCACATTTATTTTCGCCTCGTATTCTTTCTGGTCTTGGAGGATTGTTTGGGAAACCGCTAAAAATTGATGAAGCTACGGCTGTTGGGTCCCGTCCTTCTATTGCCCGTGTGCTAGTTGAATTAGATATTACTAAATCCAATC